CACTATGGGAGAATCTAACTTTGCCTCCATTTGCACACTGATTTTAATATTCCTCACTTACAAATGGAGCCCTTGGGGCACAGTGGTTAAGAGTTGGGCTGCTGACCAAAAGCTCAGCAGTTCGAATCCACCAGCTGCTCGTTGGAAACTCTATGGTGCAGTTCTACTTTGTTCTATAGGGTCGCTGTGAGTCAGAATCAACTCAACAGCAATGAGGTTTTTTTTTTTGGCACTTATAAATATTTCTGTTCTTTGAATTGTCCTTTGAATTAATTGTAACACCTTTCCAGTTTCCTCTTTAATGAGTTAAAAGATTTTAACGCATGTTCACTTTTATACTGTATGAGAATCATGATTTTACTTTTAAAAAATTATCCTTTAGATACTTGCCTAATCCTTATTTCCTACAGCATTTGTCAGACTTCCACTAGAAACCTCAGTAGTGTATTCTTCCAGATACCCGGAATCTGTCCCTTTACACTCCCATCTATACCCTAATGCCTTTCTCCTTGACTAGTATCTGGTCACCCCCTCACATCCAGTTGTTAGTGAGTCAGTTCCAACTCATGGTGACCCCAAATGTGTCAGAGTAGAACTGGGCTCCATAGGGTTTTCCATGCCTGTCATCTTTTGGAAGTAGATCACCAGGCCTTTCTTCTGAGTCACCTCTGGGTGGATTTAAACTGCCAACCTTTCAGTTAGTAGCCTAGTGCTTAACCATTTGCACCACCCAGGGGTTCCTACCCTCCTACATACCGCACCTCTATCCAAATTATTGGTCTGAGAAACCATCTCCTAACTTCCAAAAATGGTCCTCTCTCAGATGATAACTTACATGGTCACCCTATGTATAACGCTTTTCCTGGTCTAATTTCTACTTGCACATTGAGCTTCATCTCCTTTAATTCTCCCTTCCACTCTAAACTCTAGCTACACTAAACTACTAAAGACTCCCAATTCTTAATGCTCACTATCATCTCAAGGATTCTGTAAGTGCTGTCGTTCTCCTAAAACACTCTACTCTCCTTCTTTGCCTACCTTACCCCTGCTTAACCTTCAGGTGTCAGGCTAGATATCAGTTCTTCCAGAAAGTGTTCTGTAATCCTCTTCTGCCTCAGTGGATTAAGTGTCCCTTCTAAGTGCTTCCATACTATCTATGGTTACTTTTATCTTATAGCACTTTTCATACTAATTAATAATTTTCTATCGTTTCTTTACCCTTCACTATATAAGCTTCTTCCCTGAAGAAATCTGACTTGTTCACTGTGTATTTCTACCACCTAGCATAGTGCCTAACATACACAGTAAGAGCTACAATGTCTTTTAATGAATTATGATAGAATTGTTAATCAATCTGAAAAGTAGTTTTAAGTTTAGATGAAGTTCTTTGTAAAGCTTGAGTTTGCCTACGATTTTATAAGCAATGACCATTCAACATTTTGGTGTTATTCATCATGTGTATGCTATCAAATTTTGCCATTGGAAAATAGAGTCAGTGATGAACCTTATAGTTTATTTAAGAAAAAATATTAAATGACTTAAAATATATTGTTGGATTTTATGTTTTTTTAAATCATCATAATCCTATTTAATCTATCCTCCCAGGAGCCCTGGTGGTGCAGTGGTTAAGCACTCAGATGTTAACTGAAAGGTCGGCAGTTTGAACTCACGAGGCTGCTGCTCAGCAGAAAGATGTGGCAGAATGCTTCCGTAAAGATTACTGCCTTGGAATCCCTATGGGGCAGTTCTACTCTGTCGTATAGGGTCACTATGTGTCGGAATTGACTCGACAGCAATGGGCTAATCAATTCTCTCAGAACTTCCAGGCTATGTGGTAGTTTTAGGTAATTAAAATGATTCTCAATTCAGTGAAATTATCTGCTCCTTTAGATTTATTTCTACTAGACTGGATATCTAATCTTAAAAGATAAAACCAGTTAGTTGTTTAAAGAGCACCCAACACAGTAAAATTAGAAATGGGATGTCACAGTTAAGAACTGTCAATAAACATTTAACATGATTTTACTGATAATGACAGTTAATTGACCACAAAGGGGAATGTAGCAAAAACATTGTAAGCTTCTAAGAATAAGCAGTTATTTGAAGGTTGATGTGCTGTATCCCAATATCAGTATACTGACCATAATTTGAAGATAAAAGCTAGAGAGCAATAAAGAAGTATATAGTATACAGTGGCTTCATTAAATGTTGAACATTTATTAATCTCCCTTACCCTAAAGAAGCAACTCATTATGTCTAGGAAACATCAGTCATTTTAACTGGCTTTGACAAAAGAAATCAGAACCCTTGGTACATATTACATCATATTTTTTACAAACAAAACTTTTAAAAAGTGAGTTTCATTGTCTTTTGGCTAGCTGTCATTTCTATCACAGAGAATAAATTTCTTTAGAATTAATCAGTTAGCTTGTGTTAGGCTAAACAGTATGATATATGTACGAGAACAAGTATAGTATTTCAAGAATTGGAAGTGCTATAGCATTATAGATTTGGGGCAACTCAAATATCATTTAGTTTATTCTCTTGTACCGTTTTTATCAAAACAATCTGTACTTATGTATTTAGGTCTCTAGAGTAGAGTTGCTGTTAATTCATCTTCTGTTATTTGAAAGCAAGAAAATCTTTCTTTGTCTCTCATAGAAATCCCTTTTGTACACATGGTGTTATACAACATAACACATGAGTTATATTTGTTATAACGAACTATATGTATAAATGAATTATATTAGTATGACGTGCCCTATAACTCTCTGTGGGTTTCGGGGATGATAAATTTGCTGAATAGGTAGAATGTTCCTTCCCTTTTATGCACAGTCCAGGAGTCTGTCCCTTGTCTAGAATGGACTCTAAAGCAGTGACTTCCAGAGATCCAAAGGCTGATGCACAGATTAGTGTCAGCAAAACCAAGTGCAAACGAAGGAAATCAAAACAACATAGTGGAGTTTTATCAAGTGAGATTGTGTTAATTTAAAGGATTATTCTTCATTTTAAGATGGTGTTTTTCCTATCTGGATTACTTATCTTTTCATTTTAGAAATGATAATGAAAATATACAGTATTTTGTTACTGTCATTGTTTAGTTACCACATTTGGAAAATAAGAACATTATCAATTATATGTCATTAAATTTTAAAATATTTTGCATATTTTTAAAATACCCCTGTTGGGAACTACCATTCTAGAATATGACTTTGTAATATGAGCTACCCTCAAGTAAATTAATTTTTTAAATACAAAAATCTATGGCTGTGTGTTATATATGTACTTAGAAATTTCCCTTCTATACCTATTTTATTGACAGTTTTTATCAGGAATGGTGTTGGACTTTTTCGAATGCTTTTTCTGCATCAGTTGAGATGATCATGTGATTCTTTTCTTTCCTTTTATTTATGTGGTGGATTATGTTGATTGGTTTTCTAATGTTGAACCATGCTTGCATACCTGGTGTGAATCCTACTTGGTCGTGGTGTATTATTTTTTTGATATGATGCTGAATTGTATTGGCTAGAATTTTGTTGAGAATTTTTGGATTTATATTTATGAGAGATATTGATCTGTAATTTTCTTTTTTTGTGGCATCTTTGCCTGGTTTTGGTATCGGGGTTATGCTGGCTTCATAAAATGAATTTGGAAGCATTGCTTCCTTTTCTATGCTCTGAAATAGTTTGAGTAGTACTCGTACAAGCTCTTCTCTGAATGTTTTGTAGAATTCTCCAGTGAAGCCATCTGGGCCAGGGCTTTTTTTTGTTGGGAGTTTTTTTTTATTACCTTTTCAATCTCTTCTCTTGTTATGGGTCTGTTTAGATTTTCAGCATCACTTTGTTGTAGTTTGGGTAGGTAGTGTGTTTCTAGAAATTTATCCATTTCCTCTAGGTTTTCAAATTGTTGGAGTATAGTTTTTCATAATATTCTGTTATGATCCTTTTTATTTCAGTTGGGTCTGTTGTAATGTCCCCCATTTCATTTCTTATTTGGGTTATTTGCGTTCTTTCCTGTTTTTCTTTTGTCAGTCTGGCCAGTGATTTGTCGATTTTGTTGATTCTTTCAAAGAACCAACTGTTGGTTTTGTTGATTTTTTCTATTGTTTTTCTGTTCTCTATTTCATTTATTTCTGCTCTGATCTTTATTATTTCCTTTCTACTGGTGGCTGTGGGCTTTTCTTGCTGTTCTCTTTCTATTTGTTTGAGTTGTGTAGTTAATGTTTTGATTCTGTCTCTTTCCACTTTTTTGATGTGTGCTTCTATTGCTATGAATTGTCCTCTGAGGGCTGCCTTTGCTGTGTCCCAAAGGTTTTGATGTGATGTGTTTTCATCCTCATTTGATCCTAGGAATTTTTTAATTCCATCTCTGATTTCTTCTATTACCCAGTGGTTTGTAAGCAGGGTGTTATTAAGTTTCCATGTAATTGATTTTTTTTTTCCTTGCTCTTCCTGTTGTTAATTTCTACCTTGGCGGCATTGTGTTCAGAGACGATACTTTGTATTATCTCAGCATTTTGGATCTTGTTGAGGATTGCTCTGTGACCTAAGATGTGGTCTATTCTGGAGAATGCTCCACGTGCATTGGAAAATAATGTGTACTTTGCAGCTGTTCGATGGAGTGTTCTATATATGCCTATGAGGTCTAGTTGGCTGATTGTGCCCTTTAGGTCTTCTGTATCTTTGCTGAGTTTCTTTTTAGTTGTTCTGTCCTTTAGTGAGAGAGGTATGTTGAAGTCTCCTACTATTGTTGTGGAACTGTCAATTTCTCTTTTCAGTGCTGTTAGAGTTTGTTTTATGTATTTTGGAGCCCTGTCTTTGGGTGCGTAGATGTTTATTATGGTTATGTCTTCATGATGGATTGTCCCCTTAATCATTATATAGTATCCTTCTTTGTCTTTTATGGTGGATTTTATTTTAAAGTCTATTTTATCTGAGATTAGTATTGCTACTCCTGCTCTTTTTTGGTAGTTGTTAGCTTGATATATTTTTTTCCAACCTTTGATTTTTAACAAGTTCACATCTTTGTTTCTAAGGTGTGTCTCTTGCAGACAGCATATTGATGTGTCCTGTTTTTTTTATCCATTCTGTCACTCTCTGTCTCTTTATGGGTGAAATCTTGCATATTTTGAAATCTGTTTCCTGTAGTCTTTGCTCTGTTTTGCCTAGGCACTTTTACAGCATTTTCTGATTTAGAGTGGACTTAATCTTTTGGGCAATATTGTAGATCAACTTTAGACCCACTCCCTTTTCCATCCTCTCCACAGTTTTTCTGTCAGCCTTCACGTGCTCTAAAGTCTTGCTGTAAAATGAGGCTGGGGCTGACACAGGAGAGACATACTCGGGTTTTCTTTTTTTTTTTAATTCATAGTAAATTTGAAGTTTCACTATTCTTTGTTCTCAAGGTATGCTGATTTTATTGTTTTGTGTAGATATATTTTTCCTTTGTTTTTTCTTTTGTATCATTTTTTTGGAGAAAATATTAGGAGGCTGGTAGCTAAACTTCTGCCACTGTCTTACACTATTTACGAGTTCTGTAATTTGTTTTGATTTCACAACTTTCAGAAAATCCTTCATCACGCAGAGATGTACCTGTAAGTATGACATTTTTAACAGTGCATATTCCAAATTTGATATACTCTTTATTTTAACTGATCTTGAATCCTAAGAAAAAAGTAGTAGAGTTTTTTTTGTTTGTTTGTTAATTGTCTAACAGCATATACCAACTGCTTAACTGTATTTAACAGATAATTGATATTTTGGAATTTGTCAAAGAACTTCAGATAGTTTAAACTCTGATAGTTTTGAGAATATTTCCAAAGTGTCTTTCAACTTTAAGATATTATGATTGTTTCACATCAGATGTGTCAGTTCCTTTACTCATTTGTAAGATGAGTAACCAATCAAGTATTTTCATCAGAAGAGTGACATGATTTGACTTATATTTTAACAGGATAACTCTGGATGCTGTGTTTGAGGACACACTGTAGGGATGTATGGCCTGAAGAGAGAGACCAGTAAAGACACTGTTGTAATAATATTAAGAAATATTGGGGCTCTCATACCAGCCCAGTAATTCTGGGGGTGTTAAGAAGTGGTCAGATTCTGAATATATTTTTAAGGTAGAGTTCCACACGTTCATGAAGAATTGGATGTGATGCTTAACAGAAACAGAGTAGTTGAGGATGATCCTATGATTTTTGGCATCTAAAAGGAGCCTACTTGAAAGGTGGGTTTAGAACTTTATTTTTGGAGTACTATGATTGAGATGCCTATAAGACATCCAAGAGGAATTTCAAGTAAACAGGTGAATGTATGAGTCTTGGATTCAAGGGAGAGAGAAGTCTAGCCTGAAGTTGTAAATTTTGCAATCATTAGCATATAGATGGTTTTTAAAGCCACGAAACTGGATAAGATCATTAATGGAGTGAGGTAAGAGAAAAGAACCCTAAAGACTGATGTCTGAGCACAGCAGTGTTAAGAGATTTGGCGTATGAGTAGAGAATAAGAAAACCAGTGGAGTGTAGAGTCCTAGAAGCCAAATAAAAAGAGTGCTTAGGGAGGACAGAGTGATTCCATGTTTCAAATGTAGCTGATAGAGCAAGGAAATAAGGGCCTGGAATTGACCCTTAGAATTAGTAACTTGAAGGTCATTAGTGACCTTGTCAAATGCAATTTCAATGGAGTGGAGAAGTGAAAACATTATTCAAGTGAGTTCAAGGGAGACTGGGAAGAGAAAAATTGGAGCACCAAACATAAACAATACTTGAGGTTTTTCCCATGTACTGTTTACTTTAATGGAAGTAAAGCAATGGGATAGAAGTTGAAGCAAGAAGTAGGCTGAAGAGAGATATCATTTTATTTTTTAAGATAAGAAAAATTATAGCACATTTGTATGCTTGTGGGAATTATCCAGTAGAGAGGAAAAAATGATGCAGGAGGTGGGAGAGAATTTCTGTATCAATGGCCTTGAAGGGGTAAAATCTAGTCCACAAGTGAAGATAAAAGCACTGATAATTCATACCTGTAAAAGAAGGGAAAGCAGAGTTAATGGGTAGATAGATGCATGATGAGGGTTATCTGGTGATAATTCATTTCTGATTGTTCAGGTGAGAGTGAGGACGGGAACATAGATCACAGAAGTTAGAGGAGCAAGAAGTTATGCAGAAATCATCTGGGAGCCTGAGGAGGAGAATGGATCTGGGAATCTAGTATGATTGCCAGGGAACACCTTGAGGTGAGTAGTTACATATTTTAGAGTGAGACCATCAGCGAGGTGGTAAATTTTTCTTGAACCATATTGTGCTGCATAGATATAGGTGCAGGTAAGTGAGGGATTGAGGGTCTATAGCAGGAATCTTTTACAACATTATGATAACTAGGACCCACCCACTTCCACATATTTTTATTTATTTGTTTGGGGAAGGACCTGGTCATTGGATGTTTTTTAATCACCCAAGGTGATTCTAAGGCAGTTAGAGTTGAGAAATACTGGTGTATCACATGGAGTCTTTGGTGGTGCAAAAGATTAATGCTCGGCTACTAACCAAAAAGTTGACTGTTCAAACCAGCCAGAGGCATCTCAGAAGAAAGGCCTGGCAATCTGCTTCCAAAAGGCCACAACCATAAAAATTTTATGGAGTGCATTTCTACTCTGCACATATGGGGTCACCATTAGTGAGAATCAACTCAAAGGCAACTGGTGGGATACTACATAGTATATACTTGAGGAAGATGGTGGTATGGAGCAGCTGTTGTGGGCTATGAGACAAGAATTGGAAGTTAAGAAAAGTTGTGATTTATTTTGTTTTATTCATTTTTGGATGACACTGGTGTAGAAGCTTTGGACTTGGGAAAATTCCCAGGATGGTTAGAAAAGATAAGAGTAAAGGAAATGCCTTACATTTTGTATCTCTACATGAAAAACATATACAGAAAATTGAGATATGATATTTTAGGTTTTTGATAATTTTTTTTAAAATTATGCTAATGTGGTTAAAAGCAAATCAATTTGCCGATCTTTACCAAATATTTTAAATTATATTTTCTAACAAAACCGGAAGGTTTGTATGCTAAGTATCAGCTTAAAAATTATTGCACGTAAGTTTGAGAAAAATGGATTTTGTTATAGAAATTCTGTTAGAAATTTAATGTGAAAGGGAACATATTTTCAATCCTTTGATATGAAACACATCCATAAGGTTACCGAAACTTTTTCTGTATATGGATAGATTACCACTGTGCAGAAGAGGAAAAACATGTTTGTTCCAAATATGCCAGCTATCTTGTATTGAAACCAGATTTTAAATAAAATGATTTTCCAAATGTGTTGTTCTCTAAAGCAATAAAGACAATGGAGGAGTTTACTGTGCTTTTGGCAAACAACAATTTTTTCAGTCCTCAAAAACGCAGGTATTTTTCTATTTTGGGAAAAGGAGATATGCAAGCCACAGGTTTAGAGAACTTTACATTTTATCGGATCATGAAGTTAAAAATTCAGAGTGCTAGCAGGCACTTCTAGCAGGCTTGTTGCACAAAGAAATGAGTATGCCATTTAATTCTTTTATCCCTTTTCTATGAAAATGTGAGAAAAATTTCATTGAAATATAAACTTACGATTTCTTTCTTGTCATAAACGAGGCAGAATCCCCTGTCTTCAATTCAAAGGAGTTTTATTTGAGCAAGATTCAAGTAGGAATTAGATAACTTGTCTTTTGCTCCTCCTCTCGTTCTGAAACTACAGAAGAGAAGCAGGAAAACAAATGCTCAGGAACATATTGCACAAAGTACCACTTCAACAAAACCCAGGACAAACGCAAACAATTCGAGAAATAATAGAACTGAGGACAGCAAGCTTTCTAGGAATGCTATGGACGTTTCTTCCCTCTGCTATCGTTGAAGTTTCTTTAGTCAAGGTTCAGTTATACTACTGTTTAGACAACTCCAACTCCCCAGAAACAATGTTCACTGTTACCGCGGCTTCCAGGAGCGCAGAAATTGCTTTGATGAGCTCTAATAGATTGGTAACAATGCTTCCTACAGGGCCACGTTGCTAAGTAACAGCTTGTTTTCTTGGACACGGTGAATCCGTGGAAGACCCCCAAAAGAGGTTGCAGATTCTTGGTGGACAGCTCTCATATCTCCTCCTGGAAACATAATGAAAAATGCCTTCAGAAAAATAGCTTCATGAAGGCCAGAAGAATTTTATGCACCAGCAAGACATGGCTGAAAGGTAGGAAAACAAATGTTAAAAGTAACTTTAGTCATTACTTGACAGAATTACAAAAAAAGTAGGTAGGTCACCGGATTAAGTGTCATTTAAGAACTTAAAGTGATGCAGCCTGTGTTACTAAATAATGGTTGTTAGAGAGAGAAGCAAACCTCACCACCAACCTCCTAATACCATGCAACTAGTTACAAACGCAATGCAACTTCTGTGATCATCATTGTAACAAAGAGAGATAGACTTATTGTTTTGGTAATTGTATGTTTATAAACACACAGGGGTCTTTAAGACAGCATGTGTGAATTTCAGGGGGGAATAGACAAGACAGCTGAGAGGAAATCTGTATTTGTGTTAATAGTTAAGTTTAGATGAAATTTCTAGAAGAAATGGTTTTTACTAGCTCATTAAAGCCACAAAACCGATTAAATAAGAGGCCTAAACTCAATCTTTGTTTCCTTGTACTCCTAAATTTCAAAGCTATCTCTAAAAATATTTCTCCAAGCATGCTGATAATTAAACAATATACAATTAGTGGGTTTGCTGGTTTGTTAAATTGTTTTTTCTTTTTATTAGTGTATAACCTGATTCTATTTCTTTAATAAACGATTCTTGCACATTTAATTTTTTGGTAAAAGTTCATTGGGGTCCATGCCTATTACACTAAAATTATTGATGATTAATGCAAAGGTATAAAATTTATTTACATCTTTCATTTACTGCCCATAGTTAAGGGAAGAATCTTGCTTATGTACGGGTTTGGAGGCCAAAGCTGTGATAGACATTCTGTGTTTGCTACCCAACTGTGCTCATCTCAGGAAGCATCCAGATATTATGTCATTTTAATGTTAAAAATGAAATGTGTTTTAATTGGAGAAATGGACTTGTGAAATCTAATAAAGCAATTGTTGTTGTTAGTTGCTACCTAGCAAGAAACAGGATGACTTAAATAGTTAGCAATTATGTGTAGAATTATAAACTTCATTTTGTCCCACTTGCTAACACCTTTAAATACGTGATTCCAAGAGGAGCAGGCTTGTTTGTTTGAGAGGAACATTATTTGGAAACTATGTAAACGATTTTTACTATCTGTATTTTTATTCTTGAGTTTGGAGCCCTGGTGGCGCAATGATTAAGAGTTTGGCTGCTAACCAAAAGGTCAACAGTTCAAATCCATGAACTGCTCCTTGGAAACCCTATGAGGCAGTTCTACTCTGTCCTATAGGGTGTCCATTAGTCGGAATCAACTCAATGGCAGTGGGTTGTGCTTGGTTTGGTATTATTATTATTCAGTTAGTAAATCTTTAAAATTATTTTAGAGACAGTTTTTAAGAAGTGATATCCAAGCTAAGAATTAAATTTTATTTTATTCTTCAAATTTTGAAGGGAAATATATATATAGAGAGAGGAAATCAGGAAGACAAGATGGAAGGACAGAAGGAAAGAAGTTTTCTTAGTGCCAGTATTTTTCAATCGTATTTCTGCACATAAAACTTATTCATACTACCTTCATAAAATAGTTAATTTCATTTGAGATTTTATAGTTTTATCTCTGTTCATAAAAACCAAACCCATTGCCGTCAATTCTGACTCATAGCCACCCTATAGGACAGAGTAGAACTGCCCCATAGGATTTCCTAGGCTGTAATCTTCATGGAGGCAGCCTGCCACATCTTTTTCCCATGGATCCATGGTGGGTTAGAACAACCAACCTTTCAGTTAGCAGCCAAGCACGTAATCACTGTACCACTGTGGTTCCTATCTATGTTCATAAGATCTGCATAGATCACGTATTACCTTTTATGTGTCTATATTTTCCTTTTCTCTTGTACTATTGAATGTGGTTGAATTTTCAAAGTTATAACAAAATAGGAAGTAGTAAACTTTCCTCAGATATTGAAAATCTTCCAAACAATAGTCATATATGTTGCTATAACAAAGTTTTTAAAATGTCTAAATATAATCTTGTATAGGAAACAAAACACCTCAGTCCCTCTATGCGCATCATTTCTGATATTTGAATATACCCTTTCACTTCTGTAAACATCAGTGAATTTACTAAAAACTACTGAAGTTGGCAAGCTTTCCTTCTAGAGAAGTGTTACAGATGTTGCCCATCTTCATGATCATTGGTATGTTTGAGTCCATTGTTGTGGCTATTGTTATACATAGGGTTTTCACTGGCTAATTGGTTTGTCATACTGTGGTGGCTTGTGTGTTGCTGTGATATTGTAAGCTTTGCCACCAATATTTCAAATACCAGCAAGGTCATCCTTGGTGGACAGGTTTCAGCGGAGTTTCTAGACTAAGACAGACTAGGAAGAAGAACCTAACAGTCTACTTCTGAAAAAATTTGCCAGCGAAAACGTTACGAATAACAGCGGAACATTGTCTCATATAGTGCCAGAAGATGAGCCCCTCAAGTTGGAAGGCACTAAAAAATAAGTAATTTAAATAGTCCTATAAATATTAATCTGTATATGTGTTAATTACAGTATATAAATCAAGAGAAGAGCTGCCTCCTCAAAGTGGAGTCCATCTTACTGACACGGTTGGAGTCAAGCTTTCAGTACCTTCATTTGCTAATGTGGCACAACTCAAAATGAGAAGAAACAGCTGCAAATATCCATTAATAATCAGAACGTGGAATGTATGAAGTATAAATCTAAGAAAATGGGAAATAGTCAAAAATAAAATGGAACACATAAACATCGACATCCTAGGCATTAGTGAGCTGAAATGGACTGGTATTGACTATTTTGAATCAGACAATCATATGGTCTACTATGCCAGAAATGACAAATTGAAGAGGAATGATGTCACATTCATCGGCAAAAGGCCATTTCAAGATCTATCCTGAAGCATAACACTGTCAGTGATAGGATAATGTCCATATGCCTACAAGGAAGATCAGTTAATATTAAAATTAATTAATCAGTTAATTATTAAAATTATTCAAATTTATACACAAACCACTGAGGCCAAAGATGAAGAAATTGAAGATTTTTACCAACTTCTGCAGTCTGAAATTGATCAAACATTTAATCAAGATGCATTGATAATTACTGGCGATTGGAATGTGAAAGTTGGAAAACAAAGAAGGATTAGTAGTTGGAAAATATGGCCTTGGTGATAGAAATGACGCTGGAGATCACATGATAGAATTTTGCAAGACCAAAACTTCTTCATTGCAGATACCTTTTTTCACCAATGTAAATGGTGACTATACACATGGACCTCACCAGATGGAATACACAGGAATCAAATTGACTACATCAGTAGAAAGAGACGATGGAGAAACTCAATATCACCACTCAGAACAAGGTCAGGGGCTGACTGTGGAACAGACCATCAATTGCTCACATGCAAGTTCAAATTGAAGCTGAAGAAAATTAGAACAAGTCTACAAGAGCCAAAGTATAACCTTGAGCATATCCCACCTGCATTTAGAGACCATCTCAAGAATAGACTTGAAGCATTGAACACTAATGACCGAAGACCAGACGAGTTGTGGAATGCATCAAGGACATCATACAAGAAGAAAGCAAGGGGTCATTAAAAAGACAGGAAGGAAAAAAAAGACCAAAATGGATGTCAGAAGAGACTCTGAAACTTGCTTTTGAACATAGAGTAGCTAAAGCGAAAGAAAGAGCTGAACAGAATTTCAAAGGGTGGCTCGAGAAGACAAAGTAAAGTCTTACGTGCAAAGACCTGGAGATAGAAAACCAAAAGAGAAGAACATGCTAGGCATTTCTCAAGCTGAAAGAACTGAAGAAAATTCAAGCCTCAAGATGCAATATTGAAGGATTATACAGAGAAAATATTAAATGATGCAGGAAGTATCAAAGGAAGATGGAAGGAATACACAGTTATTGTACCAAAAAGAATTGGTCAATGTTCAACTATTTCAGGAGGTAGCATATGATCAAGAACCAATGGTACTGAAGGAAGAGGTCCAAGCTGCACTGAAGGCATTGGTGAAAAACAAGACTCCAGGAAATGACAGATTACCAATTGAGATGTTTCAACAAACAGATGCAGTACTGAAAGTGCTCCCTCATCTATGCCAAGAAATTTGGAAGACGGCTACTTGACCAACCGACTGGAAGAGGTCCATATTTGTAACCATTCCAAAAAAAGGTGATCCAACAGAATGTGGAAATTATCAAACAATATCATTAATATCACATGTAAGTAAAATTTTGCTGAAGATCATTCAAAAGAGGTTGCAGCAGTACATAGACAGGGAACTGCCAGAAATTTAAGCCAGATTCAGAAGAGGACGTGGAACAAGGGATATCATTGCTGATGTCAGATGGATCCTGTCTGAAAGCAGCGAATATCAGAAAGATGTTCACCTGTGTTTTATTGACTATGCAAAGGCATTCGACTGTTTGGATCATAACACATTATGGATAACACTGCAAAGAATGAGAATTCCAGAACGCTTAATTGTGCTCATGAGGAACCTGTACATAAACTAAGGCAGTCGTTCAAACAGAACTGTGAGATATGAAGTCAGGAAAGGTATGCGTCAGGGTTGTATCCTTTCACCATACTTACTCAATCTGTATCCTGAGCAAATAATCCCAGAAGCTGGACTATATGAAGAAGAACACGGCATCAAGATTGAAGGAAGACTCATTAACAACCTACAATATGCAAATGACACAACCTTGCTTACTAAAAGTGAAGAGGACTTAAAGCACTTACTGATGAAGATCAAAGATCACAGCCTTCAGTATGGATTACACTTCAACATGAAGAAAACAAAAATCCTCATAACTGGACCAATAATCAGCATCATGATAAAAGGAGAAAAGATTGAAGTTGTCAAGGATTTCATTTTACTTGGATCCACAATCACCGCCCATGGAAGCAGCAGTCAATAAATCAAAGGACATACTGCATTGGGCAAATCTGCTGCAAAAGACCTCTTTCAAGTGTTAAAAAGCAAAGATGTCACTTTAAGGACTAAGGTGCACCTGACCCAAGTCATGGTGTTTTCA